AACAACATTAAAACAAAGGAAATAGAAACAAATAAAGCAGGTCTCTAAAGAGAAATCCGATACTGCCTGTGAGTCAGCTCATCCTCCTGGGAACACTTTTAGATGTTTTAAGCACCCAACAAAATGTAATTATTGTCAGAGACTATCTGTTAATATAGAATAATGAAGAATACCAAGACTCCAGTTTACATTCTTGGATATTTCCCAGTGGCTTTATGAAAGCCTAGTTTTCTGTTCAACATTTCGCATCATCCCCATTTTTTCAGGGTATGGGAGAAAAGGAACTGCCAGGCGTTTTGATCTGTGAAATAGGAGGTGCATTTGGTGTACTGGAGAGCCATGTGGAGTTCCTTAAGAAACACTTCAATCTCATCACCCTGAGAGAGTTTCACAGAAACAAGGACGAACTTCGTGAAAAGATCAAGTCCATTTTTGTATTTGAGTGCAGACCTCTCATTGACCGGGAACTTCTTGAAAGCTTGCCCAGCCTAAAGGTGGTAGCAAACTCAGGGGTAGGAGTGAATCATTTGGACTTGAAACTGATTTCGAGCTTTGGAGTAAAAGTCACCAACACCCCACATGCTGTTGCTGACTCCACAGCAGACATAGGCATGGCCTTAATGCTGGCATCTGCAAGAAGACTAGTGGAAGGTAAAGTCATTTTCTTTCGCAATTTATGTAAGTTGTTGTGGACATATTTTAGATTTTGTGGGATGTAACTTGCACTAATATGTGCAGATTTTTAGTTCACCACTCCCAGTATCAATCAGTCCTTGGATCAGCTGATCAATAGTTACATGATAATGCCCATGATATACTGATAAATAATAATACAGGTATTTGCTCCCTTTCCTAGCTATTCAGGTACCAAGTAGAAATTAACTTTTAAACTGAAAACTATGGAGTACTGTACTCCAAATTTTGGCTTGCTTTTAGTTTGTAACTGAAATTGAGTCAGAGCCAATATCCATTTAGCTCAACATTTTATGGGTTGAAGCTCTTCAAACTCTTGAACAGATGTTTCTCTATTCCTTCCATACAAGATCCCTTAACTAGATTTAACGGTGATGGATTCTGCTACCTTCTTCCTTAAATTTATTCCCACCTATATTTTTATGTGCTGCTTATTGTACAAATTCTAAGTAGAAATATGCCTTCCAGGGACTCCCAGTTAGAGCTGTCTTCTGATTTTCAATTTTGTAAATAGTGCAGGCATGTTTTCTAATTTCTGAAATAAAGTTGTTGTAACTGCTAACACTCTTGTTTCTCATTCGCTGCTGTGTGGCTTCTGCTTTTGTTTTTTAGGTTGTCATATTGCAACATCTCCAGATACCACACATTTTGCGGTTGACTGGCTGGGAGTAGAAGTTACCCGGGCCACTCTTGGTATCATTGGAATGGGCAGCATTGGGTATAAAGTAGCCAAGAGAGCAAAAGCTTTTGACATGAATATCCTTTATCACAACAGGAACCGTAGGTATATCTTTGATGAAGGTGTTGTACAGTGCAACCCAGGCAAAATTAACATGGGAGTAAGTCTCATGGATCTCAGTGGGGCTTACTCCTGAGTAGACATGTACAGGACCTCAGCCTTAGTTATTTAACTTGCAATGTATTGGTAATCTAGGTTTCAAAGTCTGTTGGAAGCAGTTGCTCGAAACTACCAATCTCTGCACCATGTTACAGGGTCAGTCTGTGTGTAGTCATGGAGGCTAAGGGGCTGAGACAAAAGCAATTCCTCCTTCACTTGAGACTATTTTCATCTCTACCATTAAAGTGAAAAAGTCACTGTATGGTACGGTTGCCATATTTCAAGAGGTAAAAGTCTGGACACAAAAAGTTGTTGGGCTTCCTTAGGGCAATCGCCCAATAGCCCCTCCGCCACTGCTGAGCCTGAGCTGGCCACACCAGAGCCCGGGTCACCAGAGCCTGAACCAGAGCCACCCCCACACAAAATAACCGCCACCAAAAATCCAGGACATTTGCTTTAAAATGTAAAATCACACCACCACCCCCGATGGGCATGTAGGATCCCCAAAAGAGGACGTGTCTGGGAATTCCTGGAAGTATTGCAAACCTACGTGTATGGTGATTCTTCTTGCTAATATTTGAACACTGAAGTGGAAACAAGTGATTTTTAAAGACATGGTGATTTTCAGACTTACAATATGGTAAAACGACCACACACACACACACCCTGCCTGTTCAGAATTAATATATAAATCAGGGTTTATTAGATTTTTGTCTTGAATCTCTTTTTGCAGCATGCACAGCGCGATACATACAAAATAAGGGTAATTCTGCTTATCTCCAGTATTGGCAATCAACACCTAAAGCAGGGCACACAAGAAGGCGCACTAGAAGACTAGAAGATCTTTTCAAAGATAGTAATCATTTTTTTAAAAAACCACTGCTAGCCAGAAACACATGCCGGCTCCCATGTTCCTCAAGTTTTCAGATTCTCATGATCAGCCAGCATCCTTTAGCAATGCCCTTTGGCTGCCTTGAAAGGCACCATGCAAGGAGCAACACTGATGTTCACATGGATGCTGCCTTGATTAGGGAGGGATGCAGTGGACTTTAAATGTTGCCTTTTGACCTAAAATTTGGCTACCCATAGGAAAGAATCTACGAGGAGCTCCCAGCCCCTGTCAAGTATTTGTTCTGCCCGGGCAGCTCCAGGGACGAGAGTTACTAGTATAAGTGACAATTCTCACATTTATTTCCTTCCAGGAAAGAGGAAGAAGAACAGGCAGTTGGTGCCACTTATTGCAGAAACATCGAAGACTTGCTCCAAGGGTCTGACTTTGTGATGCTGGTTGTGAATCTGACACCTGAGACACACAAGCTCATTGGGAAAAGAGAGCTGCAGCTGATGAAACCCACGGCTACTCTCATCAACATCTGCAGAGGTAGGGGATGTGTGACTACCTAAATGTAAACTTCAGCTATATACATTTTTCAGATACCTATTTTTGCATATATTCCATCCTTTTCTCTGTATTCCTTTGTGTGAAAGGTGAGACATTTCATCAGCACTAACAAAGGGTGAGGCCAACAACCAGTTTTCAGTGTCAAGAATCAATATGGATTATTTTGAAACCAGTAGCATTGGGAGTGGGATCAGGAGTATGGTACACAAGAAAAAGAAGGGGGAAATTCAGTGGTAAAAAAACATACTTTGGGTACATTCGATTTGGCACAGCTGTGGGTTTCATTACACCCTAATCCAGATGTAGAAGGAAGGAAGGATGGAAGAGCAATATCACATGAAGTGGCTTTATTGGTGAACTTTAACAGGTTTGCTGCAAAGGAAATGGATTAAGGACTGGATTCATAAGCCTTTTTACTATTTCGGCTCAATCAAAACATGTTTGGAGAGATAATGTGGAGAGTCCCTTAGCTCCTTAAAATGTGTTCATTGACTGCAATCCTAAGCACACTTACCTAGGCATTAACTCCACTGGACACAATGTTGGCTTTTCAAGTGAACAATGCAAGAAACAAGCTTTCAGTCTTTATCATGAGCTACTTTATGACTTTCTGTCCGTATCAGGTGCAGTAGTTGATCAAGATGCCTTGGTAGAAGCGCTCAAAAATGGAGTTATTAAGGCTGCAGCTTTAGATGTGACTCACCCTGAACCATTGCCAAGGTAAAATATTACAAAAAAAAAACCCTTTATTGTTGTTGTTTTAGTCCTGACATGGAATAAGTATTATTCATTGGTCCAAAACTTCAACATTAAGGCATAGATGATCATGGTTTGCCTCTGTTGCCTCCTTCTTAATGCTTGATGTGTTCAGAAATCTGTGTGCATGGATAGTCATAAATATGCCTTCTTCCGAAGTCATTTTGCCATTTCTTCTGACTGACCAGAGTCTCAGAGTATTTGGATTTAAACAAACTGAAGTAACACAAGAAATCATGGTGGTAGATGTATTATATATAACCCATTCCAAGCTCTGTAGTGCAACAACACAATAGCACTTGCGTTCAGGGCTGAGATAGCAATCTGTCCCTTGTCCCGAGGTCTCAAATGCTTTTCCTTTGCCATCTAACACTTTGAAACAAAACAACCTTCAGATTGTATAGTAGACGGCAAAATTTGTTTTGCTGCTTTAATTCATTTTCACTCAAACCTATACCGTGCATTTGAAATGCAAAAATAGAGTGGAATTGTAAGGGGGAGTTCTTGTTCTAAGCCTAGAACATAGACTGCATTGTTCTAAGCTTTCTATCTAACAATCTAACAGTACTGCCATACAAACAAGTTTATAGGTGATGAGAACTTTGATTCAGAGCACCAGTCACTCAAAAGCAGATCTTCATAGGGCTAACTCCTAAAATGATTTAGTAGATCATATCACACTTAATGATTGTGACCTACACAGTGTATAGAAGACATCTCAGTGGAAGCTAACTTACCACTAACCCCCCCCCCCAATTTGGAGTCTTTTTCAGTGCAGTCATATAGCAATATAGTTACTTTGATCTACCTGTGCCAGATGACTTCTGATTTTTCTTTTATGGCTTCCTTGCAGGGACCACCCATTATTGCAACTGAAGAATGTTATTATAACTCCTCACATTGGAACTGCAACTGTGCAAGCCCTGCTTATGATGACAGAAGAAGCAGTGGAAAATATACAGGCTGTTCTCAATGACCTCCCCATTCCTAGTGAAGTGATCCCCCAATAGTTTGATGGAGAACATTAATAATCAATGGCTGGTCAGCAAAAGGACATTAACCGCTAAGTAACAATGGAGAATGAAAATCAAAACTCATGCTACGTAGTTTTCATTTATGGCCTCCCATACTGTAACTATTTTCTGTAATCATATTCTTAAGTAAAAGAACTACTAATAAATGTTGCTCCAAGGCTTTCGAGCACAACAGCTGACTTTGATTCTTCCAGCGCTTTATTTGTACAAACAGATATTCACTGCAGCCTACATTTTCAAATCAAATGGAAACTGGTTTGAGGGAAAGCACTAGGATTCCTCAAGTAGCTTTAGGATAGTGTTGAAAACATCTCTATTACGTGAGAGATTTAACGGGTGTCATTTGCTCACCCAATGGAGACTGGTGTCTTTAGGATATAAGGTTTTAGTTACACATATATAAAACTTGAGCATAGGATGGAGGGGCTCACACCCCAGCACATCTTGCTTCCCCATTAGGAAGAGTATCCACACCCAGTTGTCTCTGGCAACATGACAAACTTCCATCATGCAGAAGGAGGGTGCTTAAGAGGGCCAGCTAGGTCATCAGCTTAACAAAGAAACTGGTTTGAACAATCCAGCAGTTTCTTCTACTACATGCCCCATCTTATAGATACAAAACTACGGGCTTCGTGGAGACCCAAAGGTGTAATCCAAACCAACCTCCCAATCCTACAAAAATAGATATGAATTGTGACTGTCATGGGTACCCTATTCCAAACACCAACAGTGGGAGCGTCCTGGAGCCATAGAAAATAGGGATGTGCATGCAGCCTCAGTCACTTTCAAAAGTAAAATAATACATAATATCCAATGGAGTTGCAATACCAAATTCAACCGCACCTGATTAAGAGGCTGCTTGGTGTTCTGTTGGACATACCATGTACAGGTTCAGCTTCTGTACCCTTAAAAATGTGAACTGTCCCAAACAGCACTGTTATATCTTGTCCTACACGTGCCATTTGCATGAGGAAGATGACACTCCCCAATATGCTGCGGTAGCCATCTTGTTTTCCCTTGCATTTTTGGTTTCCCAAGAGAACTACTGACCACTGTTGGCTACCCCTGCTTTTGAATGTCTCACGTCAAGCAAAAGCGGAATCCATTCATGGCATAACTGAGAAGAGTGCAAAAAAGTGGTTGTTGGGGTTTTTTTTCCATACTAAAGCAAAGTGATTGGATTGTACCCAATGCTATATAAGAGGACTTCAACTTGAGCAACACCACATTCCCTACCTCTCCCTTGCAGCCCCCTCATGTGTCTCCAGACTCTGCTCTGGGGGCGTCCCTCAATGCTATGGAGCAGATTTTGAGTTAGGGGTGGTGCAGGGGAGAGGAGTGGGAAGTTTTGTGCAAGTGGAAGTCTGCTGTGCAAGTGGAACGGCGATGCTGGATGCAACCTGTTGTTTGCATTTGAAAACATTTCTTTATATTATTAAGACAATGTTGAGGTTATAATCAAATAAAGAAGTGCATTGTGGTTGAGTCAAATTTAGCAAACAATGTATTTGGAGTGGGTTTTTTTAAAAAGAAACAATATGCCAAAGTTCTCTCTGTTGATTTACTAGTAGAGAATTATGCATATCTTTAATGCTCATGGATTGAACTTTGTTGGATAATTAAATATGTTTAAATTAGTTTGGATTATACCCATACTTGGCAAGCAAAATGGCTTACAAAGTAACTTGATAAATTCCAGTGTTCAAAGTTCAGCAGTGCTGAGATTTGCATGCTATTATTTCAAGACATCCTTTCGATGAGCACAGCTTCACAACCGGTATTGTGTTAATTTTTGAAGTTTCCTTTTCTCTTGAAATAATTGCTTCGCAGATAATCAACCACACAGAGCTTTTCTTGCAATCAAGTGGTATAGACATTTTGTTAAATAAATAAAATAAACAGGAATGAGTTTCTGAGTGCTATTGTACAAGTCTTGACAGTTTAAGGATCAGGCTTTGTGAAGTTTGATTTTAAGAGATTCAGAAGAGACAGGTTTACATCTTTCTGACCATGTTGGTCTTCCACCAATTCTTTGTATATTGTATGTCTTGCATATTGTATCACAATGAAGGAAAATAATCCAGTATTTTGTGGCATGGTTTGATTGTTTCTCTATGCTTTTCAGAAAACTAGTTGTCTCCCATCCTTTCGAAGATCATGCAAGATCCCAAGTTGCCTCTCTTACTGATCAATGAAGTAGGTGGCACCCTAGGAGTCTTAGAAGCTCACGTGCCGTTTCTGAAGAAACACTTTCAACTTATCACCATGAAGGAATTCCTCGAAAGCAAAGAATGCTATCGTGCTCAAGTCCAAGCTATTTACTCGTGGTGGCATAAGCCAGTCATCGACAGGGAGCTGTTGAAAAGTCTGCCTAACTTAAAAGTGATTTCAAGTGCAGGAGTGGGTACCGATCACCTGGATTTGAAGCTGATCTCTGGGTTTGGAGTGAGAATCGCCAACACTCCTCATGCTGTCCACAGCACTACAGCAGACATTGGCATGGCCTTGCTGCTGGCAGCTGCCCGAAGACTTGTAGAAGGTAACACTGACAATACTGTGCACATTTCTTTACAGTTACCCTTGTCTCATTTTCCCGAGCAGTGAGAGGTTCCAGGGCGGAGTACTTATCCAGATTTGATTCACTTTGGAAGGAGGTAAATTGAGGCTGGTGTCAGGGATGAGGAGTCAGATTATTATTCAGGTGATGGAGCGGAGGACTCCAAAACAGAGGACATGTATGGCCAGACCCAGAAGTGCTGCTACCTAGTGAGCTCATGGAGTCAACATAAGCCTGGCCAGAGGAAGTGGCCCTGTCATCCTCTGACTTGGAAGACTCCATGGAAAGTGACATGCAACCAGAGTCTGCCACGTTCTGTTGCAGGAAGAGATTAATGCTGAGACCTAGGCCCCTTTAAGCAAAGCAGCACCTTCCAGTATGGGTGAGGCTCACAATGGGGAGGTATCAACGCCGCTGATATACAGGAGAGAAGCTCGCTTTGTTCTTTGCTGAAACAACATACAGTAGGAGCTTTCTGTTCATAGAGCCTCTGCCTTCAACCTGAACCCTTTTCTACCTAATATTGCATCAGGTTGCCCTGTATCCTACCTGAACCTCACCCTGCAGTTTGCAGACATTTTTGTAATGCTGAGTTGGTCTGCTAACAGGCCTAGTGCCTGAAGCCAGCTCCCGGTAGAGCAATTGCTTGCATATTTATACCCTGTTTGTGAATATGAATTTTTGTATGCAATATGACTTTTGTTGCGATCTAAACAAATAATTTAACACTGATGTATAATGAAAAATCACCTATTTACAGCCTCAGCTGAATAACTCAGATTTCTTACAAAAATCACACCCCCCCTAGAATTCTGTTTTTAATGAACACCTCTTCTCCACCCGCCACCCCTTATTTTGTCATTTTGCAGGTTGCCAGATTGCTGTTTCCTCTGACACAGGCTATTTCTCTAATAACTGGTTAGGAGAGGAAGTCACTGGGGCAACTCTGGGTATCATTGGAATGGGAAGCATTGGGTATAAAATTGCTCAGAGAGCCAGAGCTTTTGAGATGAAAATTCTTTATCATAACAGGAACAGAAGGTAAAAATACACAGTTTGATACCATACCAAATAGAGTGTATCTTCACCTCTAAAGCTGTTTTATCCGCCAAATCTTTGTGCATGGGTATAGAGAAAGATCAGCTGGTCTTCAGAAGTGAACAAACACAGCTGTACTTTTCAACTCATATTTCTGCTTAATGTGATGAAGAGAGGCTAGCCTATCATGTTGAGAAAAGGTGATCCATCCGGTGAGAAAAAGATAAGGATAAATAAGGGCCATTTCACACAAACAAATTTCAATTCTTAGTAAATGAGGAAACTGGCGAAGTAGCTTGTTCCAGCATTCACCCAAATCCTATGAGAATATGTGAAGTCTTCCTGCCAGTCTTCCAATCCTCCCACTTTTTTCTACAAGAGAGCCATGATTTAAGGTTGATATTCATCCTGAGTGATGTCTGAATTTGGCTTTTGCTGTGTTCCGTTTCATCCTCACTCTGGTTTTCTAAGCTGTTGCTTTGCTAGGGAGGAAACTAGATATTACAAAAACCACAAGGACTGCTGAAAAGAGCCATGAGCAAAGCTCTCTTCTTCCCTTCAGTAACACATTGTGGAACTTACCTAATGTACTTCAAATCAGGATATTAAAAGAACTTAACCTCATCATGATGGAGGGAGGGAGAACCTCTACTACATGTGGTTGCCATTTTTGGTGTGTGTTTTAATAATGTCAGAGTTTGCTAGGAAAAAGTACACAGCTCAGCTCATTTTTATGCTAATTTAGATGGTTTTATTAAATCTCAGTGGCTTCATTGCAATATTTAAGTTTTTCAGCTTTGAAAAAAAGTATTTAAACCTTCTTAATTTCCTTGCTAGAAAGATAAATATCAATATAATATACAGGGGAGATTGGAACATTAATCTGATCTACTGTGTAGCCTTGAACTTAGTGGTACAGTGCACCCCTTGTTGTACAAGGGATCTGCACATTTGTGAATGCTAACCCCCCCCCAAGAACTACCACTTGTTAAACAGATCATCCTTGGTTTTTTTTTCTCTCAGGAAAGAAGATGAAGAACAGGCTGTGGGTGCCTGCTATTGTGGGGCAATAGAAGACTTGCTCCAGCAGTCAGATTTTGTGATGCTGGTTGTAAATCTGACACCTCGGACGTACAAACTGATTGGGAAAAAAGAGTTGCAGCTGATGAAACCCACAGCTAGTCTTATAAATATCTCTAGAGGTAGGTCATAAAGAGCTGCTTGAAGAAAAATATTGAGTGTTAGGACTTCAAAGCACAGCACTGTCTGAAAGTTGCTTTGCAAAAAGGCTTTCAAACAGCCCAGTATTCCCCTTTTGAGCAGTTGCTTTTTGAAGAAGCCCTGCATTCTTTATCACAACATGTGACTCTGTGCTCAGCTTAACATTGTAGTTTGTTTTGAGAGAAACAAACTACAAGTGTTGGCTCACAACTTGTGTTATACCAAGGCTCGTGGTCTGTTGCTCCCAACTTGATGAATGGAGGTGTGTAATGAGATCAGTTCAGCAGCATGTACTTATGTTCTCCTTAACTCGGAAGGTGGTGGTCTCTCCTTCATTGGAGCTTTTTTAGCAGAGGCTGGATGGCCGTCTGTCATGGATGCTTTCGTTGAGATTCCTGCATTGCAGGGAATTAGACTAGAGGACCCTGTGGATGCCTTCCAACTTTATGATTTGATGAAACCATGCAATGCACCGTTACTCAGCGATTATCATAAGAACATGATTTCCACACAGGGCAAGTTGTAGACCAAGATATGCTTGTGGAAGCTCTTCAGACTGGTGTTATTAAAAGTGCCGCTATGGATGTCACTTATCCTGAACCACTGCCCAGGTAAACAACTATGTATTGATCTATTTAAAAAAATGAATGACTATAAGTGCATTGTAAAGACTGCAGGGAAGCATAGGAGTAACCAGTGCTAAAGTTCAGACTGACATCTCTGCCTTCTTCCACTGTATACTCTGGGAAGTAGTAGGAGAACCTATATAATACACATCATGCTTCCTTTCCAAATTGAAGCCATGAGGCAATGGAAGGACAGTGTGAGCAGGTGTTAAGTAAATGTTTGAGTTAGTGCTGAAAGCTTTCATCTGCAGCTGGGATTCCTAACTGCATCTTAAAACATCCCTTGCCGCCCACCAAGGCCCCTGTCCCTCCCAATTTGTTTTAAAAGTGTCTTTGGCTTTTTTCTAACGGTTTGTTTGGGAGGATTGCTTGATTTTTGTGTGTGGAGGGGAGTATGGTCTGCTTTTAATCTTTGTTTTATTTGGGGATTAGGGTGGAGCTTATTTTCAGATGTGCAGTTCTGAGCATGGCCAGTTTTTTTGCCTATAAAATGGGAATTTTATGCTGTTCCCGAGAGTTTGTAGATTTCCGTATGTTCCTCCAGACCAAAAATAGTTGGGGACCCTGCAGTTCAAAAGGCAGTCCTATAATTGTAGTGATTATCCCTGCATCACAGTTATACAAGCATTATGCCAGTGCATTATAGTTGAGATCCCATGCACCTTTTATCACACAGATAAGACAGGAAAGGAGGAGCGTTATTCCATTCATAACAAACAGCCAACCCTATTTCTCAGTGCAACATACATTGCTCACCTACACCCTCTTCCTTCCAAAGACATGGGCTTATGGTCAGTTGTCTGACCGCATAGATAGCTGACAGAGTACTCCACACATGAATGTATGGCATCTGTGTGATTGGAGCAAACATTTTGCGAAAGAGTGGGCCATATAGTCCAAGAAGAGGAGGCACTTCAGCCATGAGTTCATAATGTACAAGGAGCTATCCAGAAGTTTAGTGAGAATGAGCAACGCAATGGGAGACAGAGGGTGGGGTTTTGAGTTGTCTGGGGCTCCCCATTGACTCCAGTGTGAGTGTTTTCATTTTGCATTACCTGTTCTGCAGTTATAATGGTGTGCTGGTGCCATGGACGCTACCAGCACCTGAGGTTCTCTCTCCTCCTACCTCTCCTCCTACCTCCTGCCCGAACTTCCTCAGTTCATGTTGGTGAATCAGTTAAACGTGCATTAAGCAGCACCAACGCAACAGTGATCCAACACCAATGTAATCTACAACACTTTCATGTTTTTGAGCTTCTAACATGCAGGTGGGCTCAGGGGTGACCCAGTCTCTAACTGCGAGTGTAAGTCGTGGGTAGGATTGCTCTGTTAATCTTCTACTTTAGAAATATAAGTTACATAGATCTATAGTGATTTCTTTATACATAACTACACATTAACTATTATACTCTACTAAAGCACCTGTATAATCAGAGGGAGTAAATATTAACCACAGGGGCTGAAACTGAAGGGTACACTTGCTTATTTTCAAGTCATTTGACTTTGGTACTTTGCTAGAATATGGATGCTTGCCAAGTCAGATAACTAAAATCCTTCAGATGGTGGATAGCTCTAAGTACTTTTCCTTCATTTGTTTGAATGAATGCCACTTCCTATATTCATAACCTGTCTTTTTTATCTTCTTCTTTTCAGAGATCATCCGTTACTAAAATTAAAAAATGTTATCATAACACCACATGTTGGTATTAAAACACACAAAACTACTTTTATGATAACAGAGGAAGCAGTAAGCAATGTATTGGCAGCTCTTAATGGTCTCCCAATGCCCAGTGAAGTGTTTCCTGACTAAACTTGTGGGCTGTCATCTAACATAGCAACATGGAACTATTCTACATTTTCCTCTAGTGCAAGAAACATATTGACAGATGTATAAATTCAACCTGAATCTCTTGCCTCATGCAGCAGTGTTTGTTCTGGACTGAAGACACAAAACAAGCCAATAGATTTTATATTTTGTTAACTCCTCATCATAGTTATAGCAGATAATGTCCTTTGTTACCATTCCACACAATTAAATTTCAAACAGCGCTTGCTCGTTAATATGAAAAACTGTTGTGAAAATTTCTATGCTTGCATTTTAAATATTATATACAATATTTATAACAAATAAATAAAAATAATAAATGTGCTTTGAAATTTGCAAGTGAGTTACTTCTTTCACAATAATTTGTAGCCAAACCGAGCTTTGCTACCTGGTAATCAATTAAAAAATTGGAAACTCTGCCTGATTGCCATTTCAAAGTAAACTACTTCTAAAAGTTTTAAAATAAAGTACCACTACCACGGCTTTAAAAGTTATAAATTGGATAATTTA